TCCGCAGCACGTTGGCCACCAGCGCGCCGCCCGCGGAGCGGTGGGCGCGGCACGCCCGCGCCGAGCACTGGAAGCCGCGGGCCGGCGGGCGGAAGCACAGCCGCGCCCCCGCCGCCGCCGCCGCGGCGCCATCGCCGCCCACCTTGTAGGGGCACCACGGCTCGTCGGGGTCGGCGTTGGGCTCGGCCAGCCCGAGGCACAGCAGGGCGAGCAGAGGAGGCAGCAGGCTGGGCGGGCCGGGCATGCCGGCGGCCGCCGCCGCATGGAGCCGCGGAGAGGCGCGGGGCCGGTGGATGCGCGGGGCTCGGCAGCCGCCGCGGGGCCGCCAATGGAGAGGCGGTGCCGCCGTTAACTCTCGCCGGGCTGCGGAGCACCCGCCCGATGCGGCCGCTGGTGGCCGCCCGGACGCGGCTCTCGGGGATCCGCACGGAGCGCTGAGACCCCGCGGGGGCGGGAACGGGAATGCTGAGACCCCGCAAGGATCGGAACGGGGTGCTGAGATCCCGCAAGGACCGGAACGGGGGATGCTGAGACCCCGCGGGGGCGGGTACCGGGGTTCTGACACCCCACAGGGGATGGGCACGGGGGTGCTGAGACCCCGCAAGGACACGCACGGAGGATGCTGAGATCCCACATGGGGGGGATGCTCAGACCCCGCAAAGGTTGGCACAGGGATGCCGAGACCTCCCCAAGTGTTTGTACAAGGATGCTGAGATCCCCCAAAGGTTGCTACAGGGATGCTCAGTCCCCCCAAGTATCGGCACAGGGATGCTCAGACACCCCAAAGGTTGGCACAGGGATGCCGAGGCCCCCCCCCAAATGTCTGTACAAGGATGCTGAGATCCCCCAAAGGTTGGCACAGGGGATGTGCAGCCTCTCCGTGCCTCCCCCGGGCTCTGTTGTGCCCACCGGGATCACATCCCTCCAGGGCTTGGGGGGCTGCTCAGTCCTGTCTTGGTCAAGTTGCAGATTTCATCTCAGACCAAAAAAAAAAAAATTTTTAATTTGTCCGTAGTTTTCATCTGGTTTTACATAGCATCCTATTTTAACTTTTATAGCAGAACATAAGCATTTGTCTATATTTAACTTGTAAAATAGAATAATTAATATATGATTTTGTTAAAATCCTCAGAAATGTGCCTGAACACATTGCTGTAGTTCTTCACTGTGTTACTTATTTAGAAACACATTGCAGTTTCCTGTGTATGTTTCCTTTAGAAACAGCATTTGAATTATGTAACTTGAAAATACAACAAAAATAAGATCCCAAGGCCTATTTTTATTTCACAAACTGAACAAAACGAACCCCAAATCATACCTGGAAGGTGATGCTTGCACATACACAAAGTATAATTTCTTTAAATAATTTTGCTTTCTGATGCATTGAACATGAATAGTCTGACATCAGGACACCTTTTCCTGTTTGATTTTTCAAGTGTGTGCTTCCTGAGGAAATCTTTAATTTACCAATATCAGGTATTTCGAGTTATTTCCACGTCTAATTTTTCACCAGATTGAATGGGGGTGTCTGCTAGCCTATGGAAAGTTGCCAGGAATGTCCTTTGATACCAAGAGGGATCAATAAAAAAATAAAATCAGCATAGAAAAGGATGCTGAAGGTGCAGTTATGGCTTGGAGAACACTCAGATTCTGGAGCAGAAGAGGTGCTGTGCTGCTGAAGGCACTTCTTGGCAAATTTACGTGTGGAATTCAGCCAGGATGCAGAAACTGGAGCTCTGACAGCCCTTCCTGAGCAAGGTGAGCGTGTTCAGAGAGTGGCTGGAGCCAAACCAAGATTTTCCTCCTTCAAACTTTGTGTCCTTGCCCTGACAGCGGTGATTGTTCCAGAGCTGTCACTGCTGTGTCCAGGGAGAAGATCTGGGCCAACCTCTGTAGCTGCTTGTGATGGACAACTTGTGATGGACAATTTGTGAGGGACAACTTGTGATGAACAACTTGTGATGGACAACTTGTGATGGACAATCTGTGAGGAACAACTTGTGATGAACAACTTGTGATGGACAACTTGTGATGAACAACTTGTGATGGACAATTTGTGAGGGACAACTTGTGATGAACAACTTGTGATGGACAACTTGTGATGGACAATCTGTGAGGAACAACTTGTGATGAACAACTTGTGATGGACAACTTGTGATGGACAATCTGTGAGGAACAACTTGTGATGAACAACTTGTGATGGACAACTTGTGATGGACAACTTGTGATGGACAGCTTGTGATGGACAATTTGTGAGGGACGACTTGTGAGGAACAACTTGTGATGGACAATTTGTGAGGGACAACTTGTAATGGACAACTTGTGATAGACAATCTGTGAGGAGCAACTTGTGATGGACAACTTGTGATGGACAACTTGTGATGGACAATTTGTGATGGACAATTTGTGATGGACAATTTGTGAGGAACAACTTGTGATGAACAACTTGTGATGGACAACTTGTGATGGACAACTTGTGATGGACAATTTGTGAGGGACAACTTGTGATGGACAATCTGTGAGGAACAACTTGTGATGAACAACTTGTGATGGACAATTTGTGATGGACAATTTGTGAGGGACAACTTGTGATGGACAATTTGTGATGGACAATTTGTGATGGACAATTTGTGAGGAACAACTTGTGAGGGACAACTTGTGAGGAACAACTTGTGATGGACAATTTGTGATGGACAACTTGTGGTGGACAACTTGTGATGGACAGCTTGTGATGGACAACTTGTGAGGGACAATTTGTGAGGGACAACTTGTAATGGACAACTTGTGATGGACAATTTGTGAGGAACAACTTGTGATGGACAATTTGTGATGGATAATTTGTGAGGAACAACTTGTGATGGACAATTTGTGATGGACAATTTGTGATGGACAACTTGTGAGGGACAATTTGTGAGGAACAATTTGCGATCAACAACTTGTGAGGAGCAACTTGTTATCACAACTTGTGATGAACACCTTGTGAGGAACAACTTGTCATCAACAACTTGTTATTAACAACTTGTGATGTACAACTTGTGATGAACTCACCCTGAGTTCTGCTGGGAGATCCCAGGGTCTGGAGTGTGCTGCAGGGAGGGAAAATGCTTGGCACAGCAGTGAAGGCCCTGAACCCATCAAAAAAATTATAACACTCCAGGTTAACTACACTTTCTGCTCTTTGTTTGGCCTTGCACTGTGGCTGAGCAAAACCCCAATTATTTATGCAGAGCCAAGCAGGCCCCTGTGCTTTGGCTTGGCCAGCCTGGCTGTGCTGGCTCCCTGGGAATCCTTTGTCTCTTTGTTTGCTCTCTTATCAATCCATCTGTTTCCTGAGACTTGTTCTGTGCAGTAAAACCCAGCCTGGGCTATTTCATGGCATTATTTCATAATTCTGCTCCTCAGGCCAAAGCCTGTGTTGTGTCCAAGCTGAGAAGCCCCAGCAGGATCCCAGATTGCTTCAGAGCCTCCAGCCAGACCCAGCACCATCACAGGGTTTGGCTTTTCTGCTTCTCCTCCTCTGGATTTATTGTCTCTTCTCAAGGAAACACTGAAGGAGTATCAGAACTCGCTGTGGGCCAGGCAGTGAAGCACTGACAACCTCCAGCTCACAATTTATGCAGCACTCTGCTAATTTTAGCCTCAGATGTGGCCAGGGCAGACAGTCCCCAGGGCAGAGATGTTTGCTCTCAGCTGAGGGCAGCACATGACATATGGTTCCTAAAGCACCCTCCAAGCTGGGAGCTTTGCATTCAGCCGAGTTGCTGCACTTCCCCCCGAGTCATAACTCTGAGGATTACTCACCCTAGACGTGCAAGCACAGAGAATCTGCCTCCTAATTTAGATTTTCCTGCAGCCTGAACCCACGAGCAGCCTCACCCCCATTGGGCTTCTATTTCCAGTGCTTGATTCACTTCCAGTCAGGGCTGAACCAGCCAGAGCCAGGGAGGGAGAGCTGAGCTGAACACAGCTGGGGTGCTGGAACCCTGGCTGCTGAAAATATTAAACTTTCTGTCTAAAATTAGAACTTTCTGTGCTGACAGGCACAGAAAACTGCATTTGACCTGAGGCTGTGGAGAAGAGTTCCAAAATGGAATGGTGGAACTGGGATTGTGGGTGTGGGGCTGGTTAGAAGTGGAAAACTTAAAAGAGTTTGGGGATCATAGGGTGGAAAACTTGAGAGCTGGGGTTTTAGAATATAGAAATAAATATGAAGCAAGATGGAGGCTTTAGGGCAGAGGCAGGTTGTTCTTCTTTACCTTCTTCTTCCTTCTTCTCCATGGGTTTGGGTGGTTTTGTGTAATTGGACAGAAAAGTCCACATTGAGGATTTTGAGGGATCAGTTATTGGGTTAAAAGGGAAATTAATTTAGGTGCCATTTCTTAATTGGACAGTTTAGCCTTAAAAAACCTTGTAACAAGAGATAGTTGGCCATTTTGTGCATCTTGAACCCCACCAGGATTTGATAGTGAGCTCCTAACTGAGCTCCATGAGCAGCTCTGGCACTTGGCTAAAAGATAATTTCCTGAAATTGTCCCTTTCCTTATTCTGCTCTACTCCATGCCAGAGTTGGACTTGCACAGCTGATTGCGCTGGTAAGAAACACAAGCAGAATGAAAACAAAGAACCAAAAACTCCTATGAAATGTAAATTTCAAGCTCTATTACAACCAGCGGAAGAAAAACAAAAATAATCAATGCTGTCAGAATGAAAAAGGCTGAGCTTGTTGGGAAATAAATATTGTTTTCCCCAGTGCCTAAAAGTGCTTGCAAAATATGCCACAAACAAGGGATTAGAAAGAGCTCAGCTAATTCAAATAGAGAACAAAGATGCTCTGATTTTTTAGCAGGTGATGAGATTCAGGCACAATTCCCTGTGTTTGGTGATTGAGGTGATGAGGAAGGAGGACACAGCTCAGGGCAGGAGTGGGACAGCTCTGCCCTGCTCTTATCACTTAAAACAGCTTCTGGGCTTTGAGATATCATAATTAAACCCATTCTTTTTCATTTTAAATCCAGCTGACTGTTCCTTCTTTGTCCCTGAGGTCAGGCGAGTCTTTTGGAGGCTGAGTAAAGTCCCACAGGATTCAATCCACTCCACCAACAACTCCCATCTTGCTGATCAAAACCTCTCTAGAAGAGACAAAATTTACCTTGGCTCCTGCTGGGAGACTGGCAATAATCCAACCAGGCTGGAACTGCATTAGTTGGGCTGCAAATATTCCTTTTTTTTTCCTGTTTCTTGGCATGGCTGTCACTGTCCCCATGGGGAAGAGCTCAGGGCAGCCCTCACCTCCAGCAGGGGGGAGGCACAGAATTCCAGGGGACACTTTGAGGCCAGCAGGAATGTCACACAGCTCAAAGGCAGGGCAGGGAGAGCTCTGCAGGGATCTGCTCCCAGTTTCTGGAGGGTCTCTGCAGCAGGAAGGTGTTCACATCCACACTCACACACTCTTCTGGCTGTGGTTGGTGCTCTCTTGCACATCTCCAGGGCAAAGAACAGGAAATTTCCTCTGGTTCCCTCCCCACCCTGCTCAGAGGATGTGTTAAAGAAACACAAAATCATTTATGAAGACAGATTCCTTTGTATTTGAGTGAGTCCAGGGACCCCTCTGCTGCCCAGGGGGGTAAAAAACACCCCCAAAACCAGCCCCAAAAACCCTCTCCAGCTCAGAAAGGGGATGTGAAGAACGAGAGGGCGAAGAACACAGTAAATCAGAAAGTGCTCCTAAGAAAAGCAGCAGGGTAAGATCATCCCCAGTCTGAGATCTCAGAGGCAGCAGTGGCCCCACACTGAGATGGGATTTTCATATTTTCATCTGCAAACCCCCTCTTTGTTTGGGGGAGTTCCCTCCTCCTGCCTCTGCCCTTGTTTCATTCAGGAGGAGCTGCCATCCCCTCATTCCTGCAGCATCCTGGATTTCCAGCAGCTCTCAGAAGTAATCATCCTTCTTGCCAGCACCTCCCTGCCTTCCCACAGGCTCCTTCTGCTCTTGGACAAGCTCCAGGTCGTCGTTGTCATCCACCTCCCCTCCATGATCCTCCTGGGGGCACAGGGAACAGCCAGGAAGGAGAAAAAAATCAGCAAAAAGGAAATCCTGGAGAAGGAGACCCTAAAGCAAACCATGCTGTCCCTGAGCAGAACTGTTCCACCAAACCAGCCCAGCTTTGGGAACCTGGGAAAACAGGGCAGAACCCACCTCTGGTAGCACCTTCAGAGGTGTTTTAGGCACATTTTAATATCCTGGCAGTGCAATGCAGCTTTGACATCTCTGCCTCTGCTGCATGAGGGGCAGATGTGAAGAGCAGGAGCTGATATTTTACATCCTCCACATTTCAAACTGTGTCACCAACCCCAGCCAGGCCATGCAGAGCCTCCAGGGAGGATGTTAGCTCCAAGCATCCATTGGAGACACCTCCAAGAGGCCTGGAATCACTCAGGGAAAGGAGACCTGACACCAACCCTGCTCTGTATTTCCCTTCATTCCCAAATCCTCAGCAATCCTGGGGAAACTGCAGGAAAACCCCTCAGGAGCCACTCAGAAAGGGCTGGGAGAGAATGAATGAGACTGGAAGAGGATTCATTTCTATCTCTGAAGGTACCAGGGTGATCCTGTCCAGCTCATGCTTGAAAAACATTGAGCTGGCATTGCTGCACTGGCACAGCCTTGATTAATGCTGGGATTGATTCCTGTTGTGATTCCCCCTAAAATTCCTCCTATAATTCCTCCTGTGATTCCCCCTGTGACTGATTCCTGCTGTGATTCCTGCAGTGATTCCTTCTATAATTCCTCCTATAATTCTTCCTGTGATTCCTCCTATAATTCCTCCTGTAATTTCTCCTATAATTCCTCTTGTGATTGATTCCTGCTGTGATTCCTCCTGTGATTCTCCCTATAATTCCTGCTATAATTCCTCCTGTGATTCCCCCTATAGTTTCTGCTATAATTCCTCCTGTAATTTCCCCTATGATTAATTCCTCCTGTGATTCCTCCTAAAATTCCTCCTATAATTCCTCCTGTAACTTCTCCTGTGATTCCTCCTGTGATTCTTCCTATAGTTTCTGCTATAATTCCTCCTGTGATTCCCCCTATAATTCCTCCTGTAATTCCTGCTATAATTCCCCCCAGTTGCTGTTTGGGAGCACCCCACAGCTCAGCTGCTGCAGGTGGGTGCAGATAGAAAGGACGAGGGCACAAAGAGCACCAAGGATGCTCTGAACACCTGGAAAAGGCAGCAATGAGCTCCAGGTTTGTTCAGAACACCTGGAAAAGGCAGCAGTGGCATCCAGGTTTGTCCTGAACACCTGGAAAAGGCAGCAGTGAGCTCCAGGTTTGTCCTGAACACCTCGAAAAGGCAGCAGTGAGCTCCAGGTTTGCTCTGAACACCTGGAAAAGGCAGGAGTGAGCTCCAGGTTTGTCCTGGACACCTGGAAAAGGCAGCAGTGAGCTCCAGGTTTGCTCTGAACACTTGGAAAAGGCAGCAGTGGCATCCAGGTTTGTCCTGAACACCTGGAAAAGGCAGCAATGAGCTCCAGGTTTGTTCAGAACACCTGGAAAAGGCAGCAGTGAGCTCCAGGTTTGTCCTGGACACCCGGAAAAGGCAGCAGCGGGCTCCAGGTTTGCTCTGAACACCTGGAAAAGGCAGGAGTGAGCTCCAGGTTTGTCCTGAACACCTCGAAAAGGCAGCAGTGAGCTCCAGGTTTGCTCTGAACACCTGGAAAAGTCAGCAATGAGCTCCAGGTTTGCTCTGAACACCTGGAAAAGGCAGCAGTGAGCTCCAGGTTTGCTCTGAACACCTGGAAAAGTCAGCAATGAGCTCCAGGTTTGCTCTGAACACCTGGAAAAGGCAGCAGTGAGCTCCAGGTTTGCTCTGAACACCTGGAAAAGTCAGCAATGAGGTCCAGGTTTGTTCTGAACACCTGGAAAAGGCAGCAGTGAGCTCCAGGTTTGTCCTGGACACCTGGAAAAGGCAGCAGTGAGCTCCAGGTTTGTCCTGGACACCTGGAAAAGGCAGCAGTGGGCTCCAGGTTTGTCCTGGACACCTCACAGAGCAGGCAGAGGCAGACCTGGAGTCCCTGCTCACCCCTGGTCCCCAAAAGCTGAGTCCCCCCCAAATTCCTGGCTGCCAACCCCCCCCCAGGTGACCCCACAGCAGAGAGGAAAGAGGAAGAACCTTGGTGTCGTACAATTTCTTGCTCCTGATCTTCTTGGTAATCCTCCAGTGGCTCTTCCCTGGGCTTGGCAGCTCTGCCAGCATCCTGAAAAACACAGGCAGGCAGGGTTGGGAGTGCCCAGGTGTGAGAATTCAGGACATCCCTCTGTCTGTCTGTCCCTGCCAGGGGGCTCAGAGACCCTGGCACAGAGCCCAGGACTCTGTGACTTTGATTGTGACCCATGGAAAAAAATTACCAACTTATATGAAGATCTACAAGGCACAAGAGTTTAAGTAGAATGATAGTGAACTTATCATGGGGTGAGAAATAGATTTTTTTGGGGTTTTTAGAATGGGGGTTCAGGGGGAAAGATGGAGGCATCTGAGTGTGTCCAGCCTTTCTCCTTCTTCTTCTTCTTGGCCTCCATCTTCTGGGTGATGGTGGCACTTTTGGATTGGTTTAGAGTAGAAGCTCACTGTCTAACATAGGTAATAGGTATTGGGAAGGAATTGTAAATATTATAAATGTAGTTTTTAGTGTAAAAAGATAACACCAGAGTGCCTCTGTCTGTCCTGCTGAGCAGACCTCGGCTGGACAGGAGAAAGAATTTTATAGATAAGAAACAATAAACAACCTTGAGAACGAGAACTGAAGAGTTCTGACTCCTTCAAGTGCCAGGCTGGGAAAAGAGACTTTGTGACAAATTTTGGGGCTGGTAAAAGAGACTTTGTGACACATTTTGGGGTCACTGTGAGCAGCCAAAGTCCTGAGACCCAGCCTGCTGCCAGCCCTGCCAGGACCCAGCTCCTGCCCCACACCCCAGGGCAGATCAGGGATCTGGGGGAGCAGAGGGACAATCAGGCAGCACAAACTCCATTTATTTTTTTGCCACCCAGTCTCTTTTCCCAGCTGCTGGCAGCTCCTCTCTCCTGCAGCAGGAGGGCCCCAGGGCTGCTGCATCTGGAAAATTTTGGGTTATTTAGGGTAGAGCTTTAGGGAGAAGAGCACAGCCAGATCTGAGAGCCAGGTATTTACATCACTAATTCTTTCCACATTTTCACTAATCTCAAGGAGGTGCCAGCACCTCTCTCTTGTTTGATTTCATTGGCCTGGATTTCTTTTTTTCCTTTTCTTAATCCCACCATTAATCACGATTTTAGAGCCTGACAGATAAAACACTCCTTTTTTTTTTTTTAAACAAGCAACGTTCAGCTGCTTGTCAAAACAAATGAACATTTCCCTGATGCAGAGTCTGGCTTCAGGCAGCAAGAAACACTTGGTGAAACAAATGGATTCCATCTGCAGGGAAGCAAACAAGGAGGCAGAGCTCTGAAATGCTGCTTGTGCTGATAAAAACCACAAGCAGAATGAAAACAAAAGACCAAAAAGTCCCAAGAAATGTAAATTTCAAGCTCCTTTATAACCAGTGGAAGAAAAAATAGGTTGGTTTTGACCAACCTGCCAGAGTTTTCTGCTGTCTGCCACATCTCACAGTGGGTTATGGATCCACCAGGAATTTGGATTATGGATCCACCCAAGAATTTGGATTCTGGATCCACTCAGGGATTTGATGTTTCCCTTCCAGCCCTTCACCTCTCTTGCCCACCCATCCATCCCCAGCTGGGATCCCTCCTGGCCCTGCTGGTTGTCACCTTTGGTGGCTTCTCCTTCCACTCTTCTTTAACTCTGGGCTCCTTGAACTTCTCCGAGGCTCCCGCCTTCTCCTCAAAGTCAGGTCTCTCCAGCTCAGCCTCCTCAAACTCATCCTCCCCCTGGTTGTTGGGGTCCTGGGCAGGATCTGCAGCATCATCTGGCACCTGGACAGGAAAAGCCTCTTGTGGCTTTTAGTTATTTATTTTTATTTATTTATTTTATTTTATTTATTCTCTCAGGAGGCAGCAACCTGCCTTCCCCAGCAAGCCTGGAGCACTTGCACCTCTCCAAACCTGTTAGGGTTTGTTAAAAAATCCCGAAACATCTTTGTTATCCCTCTGCACCCAGGGAGTTTGGAGTTCACAGAAACTTCTGGGTAATTATTGACCGATTGAGTTCTTATTATTGGATGGACTCTTATAGCCAGACTTGCATCCAGGTGAAAGAGGGAAGGATGAGAAGATGAAAACTTCTCAAAGTCAGGCTGGGCAGGGCTTGGAGCACCCTGGGACAGTGGAAGGTGGAGTGAGATGAGATTTAAGGTTCTTTCCCAGCCTTGGAGCACCCTGGGACAGTGGAAGGTGGCCAGGGATGGGGTCAGATGAGATTTAAGGTCCCTCCCAAGCCTTGGAAGGGTTTGTGATGCTCTGGTCACTCACCATGGGCTCCTGGACCACGGGCTCTTTCTGGGAGTGCAGCTCCCTGTCAATGACTCCTGCATCTGCCAGGGACAGGGACAAGAATATACAGTATAAAAATATATAAATACAGATATATAAATATATAATAACTAATATATTAAAATAGAGGTAATATAGAGAATATACATTATATAATATGTAATGTATAACATATATAACATATATAATATACAATATATAACATTATATATAATGTATACAATATATATAATATACATGTAATATACAATATACAATATATAATATACAATATATAATATACAATATATAATATACAATATATAATATATAATATATAAGACATAATATATAATATATAATATATAATGTATAATATATAATACATAAGATATAAGATACAATAAATAATATAATAATATATATTATATATAATATATAATTTAGTATATAAAATTTTATCGTTATAATGATATATAATTACATCTATATAATAGATATAATTATTATATATAATATATAATTATGATATATCTTATAATAGAAGTATATGTGTGTACATGTAACAGTAATCCATTGGATAAACTATACCCAGTGCAGTAGAATTAAGCAAAGGTGATAGGTTAGAAAAAACAAAATTAACTTTGTGGCAACTTCCCATTGGATTACAATGTTATATATTGTAAGAAAGAGACTTTTTACTACTTTTGACCTATGTCTGACTGCTTTTAAAACTTTCAAATCTCATTTTAAATTTTTAATTTTAAATCTAATTTTTAAAAAATTTTCAATCTCACAGCCTTCGAGGCTGATGTTTCTATGTAACATTTTGATTTTAGCCTGGCAGTAGTCCCATTCCTTCAACTCAAGATAACAGATAAATCTTGGTGTCTCCAAGATAATAAAATAAAATAAAATATAAAATAATAAATAAATAAATAAATAAATAAATAAAATGAAATAAAATAAATAAAATAAATAAAATAAAATAAAATAAAATAAAATAAAATGAATAATTTCCATACCCATTTGCAGCTCCTCCTGGTCAGCCCCGTCCCCGTGTGCCGCTGTCCCTGTCCCGGGGGTCCGGGTGCTGCCCCTGTGCCCATCCCTGGACATGTCCTGGGCACTCCTGGGCTGGCCCTGCCCTGGCCCCGGGTCCCTCTGGGCATTTCCTGGGCTCACAGGGACCTGCCAGCTGCAAAACACCAGGATGGGATTGGGTTGGCAGGGAGGAATGATCAGCCTTGACCCCATGTGCTCCAAAGGCTCATTTATTATTTTATTACACTATATTATATTCATGCAGTATCATAAAATAATGATATATAATATAATGTAATGATATATACTATAATATATTATGATATACTATGATACACTATAATATAATATAATATAACAATTATATATAATATAACAATTATATATCATATAATGATATATAATGGTATATAATATACTATAATATAGTATATATAATAATATATATACTATATATAGTTTATATATACTATATATATAGTATATACTATATATAGTATATATAGCATATATAATAATAATATACTATAATATAATGTATATATTATAACATAACATAATACAATATAATACACCATAACATTTGGAAATTAGCATTTCTTATCTCAAAATTCACATGCAAATACATACTATATAAACCTTCTATAAAAATTTAAAAATTCTCTACAAATCCATTCCCCACATCTGTGCAGCATCCTGGATGCCCAGAATCCCAGGAATTCCACCAAAACCAGTAAAAAAAATCCCATTTTTCAAGCAAACCCACGACAAAAATAAGAAGAAGGATGCTCCTTTTGGGCATCTTCATCCCAAAAGGTAAGAGTAGAATTCTGTGTCCCCAAACCCAGTGAAAATGCCCATTTTGAAGAATTTTGTGTCACCAACCTGTGCGATGGCAGCTCTCTGCTCCCTGCTGGGCGCTGCCTGCCTGGCCCTGGCGCATTTTCTGCTGCAGATTTCGGTCCTGGCTCAGGCAGGGCCAGCCCAGGGGCCGGGCTCTGCTCGTGGCTCCTCACCTGGATGTGCATCTCCATCTCCACATCCTGCAAGGAGACACCCCTGGATTTATATAAATATATACAAATAAATATAAATAGAAATCTATTTTTTATATACATATAAAATAACAGCCCCAAATCTGGGCCAGAAATTCCTTTTTTAAAGAAAAAGCATCCTCAAGTGCTCCAGAAGAAATCTGCAGCCCTGCCCACCCTGCAGTAGAAGACCCCTCCTCTCATGCAGCCAAAAAGGAAAAATTTGATCTCCGGCTTTGGCTGGGAATAATTCAATAATCCCAAAAAGGAATAATTCCAAAAAGGAATAACTGAGATCCAGCTTTAGCTGGGAATAATTCAATAATTCCAATAATTCAAAAATTCAAAAAAGGAGTAATTCCAAAAAGGAATAATTCAGATCCAGCTTTGCCTGGGAATCATTCAATAATTCCAAAAAGAAATAATTCAGATCCAGCTTTGGCTGGGAATCATTCAATAATTCCAAAAAAGGAATCATTCCAAAAGGGAATAATTAAGATACAGCTTTATCTGGAGATAATTCAATAATTCCAGAAAAGGAATAACTCAGATTCAGGTTTGGCTGGGAATAATTCAATAATTCCAAAAAGGAATAATTCAGATCCAGCTTTGGCTGGGAATAATTCAATAATTCCAGAAAATGAGTAATTCCAAAAAAGGAATAATTCAGATCCAGCTTTGTCTGGGAATAATTCAATAGTTTAAAAAAGGAATAATTCCAAAAAGGAAGGAAGGAGGGAAGGAGGGAGGAAGGAAGGGAGGAAAGGAAGGAAGGGAGGAAAGGAAGGAAGGGAGGAAAGGAAGGAAAGGAAGGAAAGGAAGGAAGGAAGGAAGGAAGGAAGGAAGGAAGGAAGGAAGGAAGGAAGGAAGGAAGGAAGGAAGGAAAGGAAGGAAAGGAAGGAAAGGAAGGAAAGGAAGGAAAGGAAGGAAGGAAGGAAGGAAGGAAGGAAGGAAGGAAGGAAGGACGGACAAGAGCAAACTCTGAGCTTCGTTGTTTTAAAGCTCCAGCAGCCTTGCAGAATGTTCATCCTGGGCTTTTCCAGGGAATTCCACAGGGAAATTCCAGGGAATTCCACACCTTGTGCCTCCCTGGCTGCAGCTGGCTGCTGGCTGGCACCAGGGGCTGCTGCCCCTTCCCTGCTGCTCTTCCTCCTCCTCCTCCTCCTCCTCCTCCTCCTCCTCCTCCTCCTCTCAGGCCTGGCATCTTCTGCAGAGCTTCCTTGAGCTGCCTGAACTCCTCCATCTGCGCCTGAGGGGAGAGAAGGACACAGAGAAACCTCATAAAGGGTCAAACATCTCCCTGCTGGGAGCTGGATTCATTATTTGGAGAATATTTATCATTTAGAGAATATTTATCATTTAAAGAATATTTATTATTTAGAGAATATTTATTATTTATACAATATTTATTATTTGGAGAATGTTTGCCCAGGTGGTTACCTGGGCATTGAGGGGAGAGAAGGACACAGAAATCTCACAAGGGGTCAAACATCTCCCTGCTGGGAACAGGGAACTCTAAATATTCTGTATTATTTAAAGAATATGTATCATTTAGAGAACATTTATTATTTATACCATATTTATTCTTTAAGGAATGCTTGCCCAGGTGGTTACCTGGGCACTGAGGAGCTGGGAGTGAACCTCCAGGTGAGCTTTCCTGAGGAGTTTGCTCTCTTCTCTGAGTTTCTGCACCGTGTCTGCAGGAGGAGAAGAAATTTGTTTAAAAATATATTATTTTTTTCATTTTTTTCCAAGTTTGGCATTTCCCTTTCTCACCACAAATCCCTCCTGACCTCCGAGCCCAGGAACCACAAACCTGCTCCAGCAATTCCTTCTCTCCAGGCTCTTCCCCAGCTCCTGCTCTCATTGCTTGCCACAGGACTCGGAACAATAATTTGATTTTTAGTGTTTCCCCCTCACCCTGCAGGTTGGCGACCTCGCTGTCCCTCTCCTGCTGCAGCTGGGCCAGTTTTTGGCTGTGGCTCTCCAGGCTCTTCCTGTGCTCCAGCCTGAGGCTGTTGTGCTGCAGCTGCAGCTCCAGCAGCTGCTTCTTGACATCGTCGTGCTGGTTCTGGGGAGAAAGAAGGGTCAGAGTTACAGAATGAAGCAGGGATTTATGGAAGGGATGTCCTCAGTGGAGACACCTTGGGCAGCACCAGAGCCCAGCCTGGGCAGCGCCCAGGATGAACCCAAATGACCCCAAAATCAACCCAAGATGAACCTAAATGGTCCCAAAAAATGGTCCCGGGATGAGTCAAAATGGTCACAAAATGAACCCAAAATGGTCCCAAAATGAACCCAAGATGAACCAATATGGTCCCAAAAAATGGTCCCAACATGAACCAAAATGGCCCAAAATTGATCCCAAGATGAACCAAAATGGTCCCAAGATGAACTCAAAATGGTCCCAAAATGGCTCCAAAACGGTCCCAAAATGAACCAAAATGGTCCCAAAAAAATGGTCCCAGGATGAACCAAAATGGTCCCAAAAAAATGGCCCCAAAATGAACCAAAATGGTCCCCAAATGAACCCAGGATGAACCAATATGAGAGAACAAAAATGGTCCCAAGATGAACCAAAATGGTCCCAAAAAAATGGCCCCAAAATGAACCAAAATGGTCCCAAAATGAACCCAAGATGAACCAAAATGGTCCCAAAAAATGGTCCCAAAATGATCCCAAGATGAACCAAAATGGTGAAAAAATGAACCCAGGATGAACCAAAATCGTCCCAAAATGAACCAAAATGGTCCCAAAAAATGGCCCCAAAATGAACCAAAATGGTCCCAAAATGAACCCAAAATGACCCCAATATGAGAGAACGAAGATGGTCCCAAAATGAACCAAAATGGCCCCAAAATGAACCCAAGATGAATCAAAATGGTCCCAAAAAATGGTCCCAGGATGAACCAAAATGGTCACAAAATGAACCCAAGATGAACCAAAATGGTCCCAAAATGAACCCAGGATGAATCAAAATGGTCCCAAAAAATGGTCCCAGCATGAACCAAAATGGCCCCAAAATGAACCAAAATGGTCCCAAGATGAACCAAAATGGCCCCAAAATGGTTCCAAGATGGCCCCAAAATGGTTCCAAGACGGCCCCAAAATTAACCCAAAATGGTCCCCAAATGAATCCAGGATGAACCAAAATGGTCCCAAAATGAACCAAAATTATCCCAAAATTGATAGCATTTTATATCATTTTGTACCATTTTTTAGCTTATCACCTGCCCTACCTGAAGCACACCTGGATGTTCATTTTTGCTTTTGTTGCAGCAGTGCAACTGGGGGCTGCTGGGGCGGTTTTTAAACACATTTTTGGTCTGAACTTGGCAGAGAAATGCTGATTTTAGTCCGGGCTGGAGCAGCAGGGCCGGGTTCCAGCAGCCCCCAGCACCCCTGGGCTGCATTTCCTGAGCTGAGCTGGGCTGGCTCTGGATTCCAGCTGGGAAAAAGGAAGTACAGTTCTGTCTCTTGGGCATTTTCCAGCTCTGTGGGTTCTGGGAATGCTCTGCAGCAGCAAAATTCCTCCTCATAGCAACTCAGCCCGGGCAGAATGCTCTGCTTCTCTCAGGGGACACTCAGAGCTTTTTTGTATTCCTGGCTCCTTTTCTCCTGCTTCCTTTTATTGGAGGAGTGGGAAAAAAATGTACAAAACAACCCCAACCATCTCCTTTTTTTTCAAACTGCATTTACAGCTGCTGAAAGACAAAACCAGCCCTTGGCGCTGTGGGAGATTTCCACAAAAATGGGAGTTTTTTTCTCAGAAAATGCAGTTTTTAGCCCATTGTGAGGCTGTGGGTAACACTTCTGTCACTGGAGCCCAGGCAGGAATGTTCCCAGTGGAACTGGCTGGATCAGGAGGAAATTGCTGCCAGAATGTCATTGTCACACCTGGGAAATGGGATCTTCATCCTGGGTTCGTTTTGGGGCCATTTTGGGACCATTTGGGTTCATTTTGTGAACATTTGGGTTCATTTCGGGGCCATTTTGGTTCATCCTGGAACCATTTTGGGGCCATTTTGGTTCACTTTGTGACCATTTTGGCTCTTCTTGGGCTCATCTTGGAACCATTTTGGGTTCATTTTGTGACCATTTTGGCTCTTCTTGGGTTCATTTTGTGAACATTTCAGTTCATCTTGGGTTCATTTTGTGGCCATTTTGGTTCATCCTGGGTTCATTTTTTGACCATTTTGGTTCATCTTGGGTTCATTTTGGGACCATTTTTTGGGGCCATTTTGGTTCACCCTGGGTTCATTTTGGGACCATTTTGGTTCATCCTGGGGACATTTTTGTTCATCCTGGGTTCATTTTGGGACCATTTTGGTTCATCCTGGGTTCATTCTGGGGACATTTTGGTTCATCCTGGGTTCATTTTGGGACCATTTTGGTTCATCCTGGGTTCATTCTGGGGACATTTTGGTTCATCCTGGGTTCATTTTTTCACCATTTTGGTTCATCTTGGGATCATTTTGGGACCATTTTTTGGGGCCATTTTGGTTCATCCTGGGTTCATTTGGGGACCATTTTGGTTCACCCTGGGTTCATTCTGGGACCATTTTGGTCCATCTTGGGTGCAGCCCTGGCTGGGCTCTGGTGCTGCCCAAGGCGGATCCATTGAGGAGAAACTTTTCATAAATCCCCGCTTTATTCTTTAACTCTGTTCTAGGGCACCCTCCAACAGGAATCCTGGGATTCTCCACCCCTAAAACTCAGCGGCCAAAGCTCCCTTACCTTCAGGATCTTGTGCTGGGAGCTGAGGGCCCCATATCTGTTCATGGAGTCTTGCTGGGCAGAGAAAAAAGATCCAACAGTGCCATTAGAACCCAGAGAAATCCAGGAAAGGGAGAAAACCCCACAGAAACACCTCCCCAAACCAGCAGAACATGCAAGGCAGGAAAATGTTGAGTTTTTATCTTGTTTTTTGGCCAGGGTTGGGATGAAATGTGTGAGATGGAATTTCTTGTTTGGGCTCAGATGGCACAAGAAAAAAAAATATTTCCCATTGTGCGGCAAATATTTCCCATTGTGCGGCAAATATTTCCCATTGTGGGGCAAATATTTCCCATTGTGGGGCAAATATTTCCCATTGTGGGGCAAATATTTCCCATTGTGGGACAAATATTTCCCATTGTGGGGCAAATATTTTTAATTGTGGGACAAAGCCTGGTGCACAAAGCACACCCACCTTCTCCTTGTTGAGAGCTTCCTGAGCTTCCAGCTTGTACACCAAAAAATCTGGAAAAGGGAGGAAAGGAGGCAGTAAAATGGGTCAAAGAATGGTAATGTTTGAATAAAGCATTGTTCAGCATATATAAAAATATTTATATTTAGAATAAAGGTTTAATGGTTGAATAAAGCATTGTTCAGCATATATATAAATATTTATATTTAGAATAAAGGTTTAATGGTTGAATAAAGCATTGTTCAGCATATATATAAATATTTATATTTAGAATAAAGGTTTAATGGTTGAATAAAGCATTGTTCAGCATATATATAAATATTTATATTTGGAATAAAGGTATAATGGTTTAATAAAGCATTGTTCAGTTTACACTTTTATTTATATTTATATTTATATGTTTATAGTTACATTTATACTTATAGTTATATTTATAATAAAGTTGTAATGTTTGAATAAAGCATTACTGTTATATCTATATTTATATTAATATCTATATTAATATGTATATTTATATTTACATTTATATGTTATAGTTATAGTTATAGTTATAGTTACAGTTATAGTTACAGTTATAGTTATAGCTATAGTTATAGTTAGTTATAGTTAGTTATAGTTAGTTATAGTTATAATAAAGTTGTAATGTTTGAATAGAGCATTGTGCAGTTTGCACTTATATCTAAATTTATATTAATATATATATTAATATGTATATTTATAGTTATAGTTATAGTTATAGTTATAGATATAGTTATAGTTAGTTATAGTTATAGTTAGTTGTAGTTATTATAAAGTTGTAATGTTTGAATAGAGCATTGTGCAGTTTGCACTTATATTTGAATTCATATCTATATTTATATTTATTTAAATCTATATTTATATTTATATGTTTATAGTTATATTTATGCTTACAGTTATAGTTACAGTTGTAGTTATAGTTAGTTATAGTTATAGTTATAGTTAGTTATAGTTATAATAAAGTTGTAATGTTTGAATAGAGCATTGTGCAGTTTACACTTATATTTGAATTCATATCTATATTTATATATATATTTATTTAAATATATATTTATTTATGTTTATGGTTATAGTTTGTATATGTATATGGTTATATTTATGTTTATGGTTATATATGTTTATGGTTATATTTATGCTTAGTTATAGTTACAGTTATAGTTATAGTTACAGTTATAGTTAGTTATAGTTATAGTTACAGTTATATTTATAGTTATAGTTATAGTTATAGTTATAGTTATAGTTATAGTTATAGTTATAGTTATAGTTGTAGTTATAATAAAGTTGTAATGTTTGAACAAAGCATTGTTCTCTTTATATTTGCATTTATATTTACATTCATATATGTATTTGTATTTAAATTTATATATCTATTTATATCTATGTATATCTATGTATTTATATTTATATTTATATTTATATTTATATTTATATTTATATTTATAGTGTGATGTTTGTATAAAGCACTGTTCAGCATATCTATATTTCTATATATTTCTTCAGCCACCTTGGGGACAGCTGGGCTTGGCCTGGCACTGTTGGGGACTTTGGGGACTTTGTGGCCTTTGGGGACAGCTGGGTCTCACCTTCCTTGGTTTTCTTGTGCTCCCCTCTCTCCTTCTGCAGGGACCGCTCCAGCCGGGACCTGTGCTCGTACACCACTGGGGACAGAGGGACAGCAGGACAAAATCCATTTATTGACACACAGCTTTCCCCACAGGTATTTCCCCACCATTAAAAAAAAAATAACCCAGATATTTTCCTACCATTAAAAAAAAAAAAATCAGATTTTTCCCACCATTAAAAAAAAAAAAAAAATCAGATATTTTTTCCACCATTAAAAACGAAAATTAGATATTTTCCGCACCATTTAAATTCAGATATTTTCCCCACCATTTAAAAAAATAGGATTTTTTCCCACCATTAAAAAAATGAGATATTTTTCCCACCATTAAAAAAAAAATATATATTTTCCCACCATTAAAAAAATAGATATCTTCCCCACCATTAAAAAATGAGATATTTTCCCCACCGTTAAAAAAATTCTGATACTTTTTCCACCATTAAAAAAAAAATCAGATATTTTTTCCACTATTAAAAGAACCCCAAACAGATATTTTCCCCACCTTTTAAAAAAATCAGATATTTTTTAAAATTAAAAAAACCCCAGATATTTTCCCCACCATTAAAAAATCAGATTTTTTCCCCACCATTAAAAAAAAATCAGATATTTTCCCCACCATTAAAAAAAATCCAGGTATTTTCCCCACAGTTAAAAAATTGGATTTTTTCCCACCATTAAAAAAACCCCAGATATTTTCCCCACCATTTAAAAATCAGATTTTTTCCCACCATTAAAGAAAAAAATCTGATTTTTCCTACCATAAAATAAAAAATCAGGCACCCCTGCAGTGCCAGCATCACTCCCCAGAGCATCTCTGCCCTCTGCTCCTTGCCAGGCTCCCCCAGCAGCCAAACCCAAAAATGCAGCTTTGCCTTTGTTAAAATCATTGGATTTCATTGGAATGTCTGCTCAAAATAAAAATAAAAAGGGGAACCATGGCAACAGCTGTGTTTGGGAATGGCAGCTCTGACTCTGCCAGGGGTTGGGATCCCAGCACCGGGCTGAGCTCTCACTTTGGGGGGAAAAATGCTGAATTTGGCTCAGTTGTGGGGCTGCTGTTCCCAAAACTGAGGCTGCCACTGTCACCCCCAGTGCAGGAGGAGCGGGAGGTGCTGGCACAGCAGGGAGGAATAATTTGGGTTCATTCCTGCCCTGCTGAGCTCTGCACACCCCAAACCGGGGCTGCAGGTGGGAACCTGGCACAGGCATGAAAAATTTATGAAAAATTCCGTCACAGATTTGATGAAAAATCCTTTCCTTAGGATTTTTTTTCTCCTGAGAAGCTGAGAAGCCTCAGAGGAAAAGAAAAACAATGATTATCTGCTGCTGTGGGATGCAACAGGTGCATCTGGGATTGGCCTCATGGGGTTGTTTCTAATTAATGGCCAGTCACAGTCCAGCTGTCTTGGACTCTGATAGTCACAAGATTTTATTATGATCCTTTTCCCTTTCCTTTCCTTTCCTTTCCTTTCCTTTCCTTTCCTTTCCTTTCCTTTCCTTTCCTTTCCTTTCCTTTCCTTTCCTTTCCTTTCCTTTCCTTCCCAAATCCTTTCTTCCATTCTTTCAGTATAGTTCTAATCCATCATTTTCTTTTAATATAATATATATCATAAAACAGTAAATCAGCCTTCTGGACCATGGAGTCGAGATTCTCATCTCTTCCCATGTCAGGAAGTCCCTCCAGACCCCAAATCCCAGCATGCAGCATCTATCAGCCCCAAAATGCTGCCACGACTTTTTAAATCCCGGATCAATGTCTTGAGAACGAGGTGGGTTTGTCAGCAGGATCAGAAAATTCAATTCTTCCTCCTCCTCCTCTTCTTCCCTGCTTTTGAGGGAGCTAAAAACCTGCAGCATCCGTCAGCCCCTTCCTTTTTAGTCCCAGACTTTTTTAGTCCCGGACCCAAAGTCTCGAGAACGAGGTGGGTTTGTCAGCAGGATCAGAAAATCCAATTCTTCCTCCTGCTTCTTCTCTCCTCACTCTTTTTAGGGAGCAAAAAATCTGCAGCTCCATCAGCCCCAAAATGCTGCCACGACTTTTTTATTCCCAGACTTTTTTAGTCCTGGATCAACCTTTCGAGAACAAGGTGGGTTTGTCAGAGGGATCAGAAAATCCAATTCTTCCTCCTCCTCTTCCTCCTCTTCCCCTCTTTTCAGGGAGATAAAAATCAGCAGCATCCATCAGCCTCAAAATGCTGCCACGACTTTTTTATTCCCAGACTTTTTTAGTCCAACCCAAAGTCTCAAGAACGAGGTGGGTTTGTTGGCAGGATCAGAATAGCCAATTCTTCTTCCTCCTCTTCCTCCTCTTCATCCTCTCCCCACTCTTTTCAGGGAGTTAAAAATCAGCAGCATCCATCAGCCCCAAAATGCTGCCACAACTTTTTAAATCCCAGATCAACGTTTCAAGAACAAGCAGGATCAGAGAAGCCAATTCTTCTTCCTCCTCCTCTTCTTCCCCCTCTTTTTAGGGAGTTAAAAATCAGCGGCATCCATCAGCCCCAAAATGCTGCCACGACTTTTTTAGTCCGGACTTTTTTAGTCCAGACCAACCTCTCTAGATCGAGGTGGGTTTATCACCTTGCAGCAGAGGGCTGGGACAAAACTCGAGGGAAGATCAGCTCCCTTCCCTCCCTGCTGGCTCCCACTCGGGGCAGAGGGAGCGGAGCCGCCTCCCCGAGCCCGCCCCGCGATTTTACTGCCCCGCATTTGGCCTGACAGGGGCTGGGAATTGCAGCCAAAGGGAGAAGAAATGGAACAGAGGTGACACAGCCGGGCTCACCCATCCAGCTCCGACCTCCCTTTGCCAATTCCCACTCAAATGTGAGCCCCAATTCCCACTCAAATGTGAGCCCCAATTCCCACTCAAATGTGAGCCCCAATTCCCCCTCTGCCAATTCCCACTCAAATGTGAGCCCCAATTCACACTCAAATGTGAGCTCCAATTCCCACTCAAATGTGAGCCCCAATTCACACTCAAATGTGAGCTCCAATTCCCACTCAAATGTGAGCTCCAATTCCCACTCAAATGTGAGCCCCAATTCCCACTCAAATGTGAGCCCCAATTCCCCCTCTGCCAATTCCCACTCAAATGTGAGCCCCAATTCCCCCTCTGCCAATTCCCACTCAAATGTGAGCCCCAATTCCCCCTCTGCCAATTCACACACAAATGTGAGCTCCAACTCCTGACACCCAAATGGGGGAAGGAAACAGCTCAGCATCCTCAGAGCCAAGGGATGAACGGGGGACCCTGATTGTGGAAGGGAGGGAGAGAATTGGGGCAGGGTGAGAACACAGGGACAGCTCCAGAGGGGTCACTCACAGGGACAGCCCAGGAGGGGTCACTCACATTGGGGTCACTCATACTGGGAGCTCCAGAGAGGGTCACTCACTCACCTGGGAGCTCCAGAGGGGTCACTCACAGGGACAGTTTTGGAGGGGTCACTCACCCTGGGGTCCACTCACCTTGGAGCTCGGGAAGGGTCACTCACAGGGACAGCTCCAGAAGGGTCACTCATCTTGGGGCCCTGGAGGGGTCACTCATCTTGGGGTCACTCACTCTTGGAGCTACAGAGAGGGTCATTCACTCACCCTGGGGCTCCGGAGGGGTCACACCTTGGAGCTCAGGAGGGGTCACTCACCCTGGGGTCACTCACACGGACAGTTTTGAAGGCGTCACTCATCTTGGGGGTCCAGATGGGTCACTCATCTTGGGGTCACTCACAGGGACAGCTCTGGAGGGGTCAGTCACTCACCCTGGGGCTCCGGAGGGGTCACTCATCTTGAAGTCCACTCACTCCGGGGTTCTGGAGGGGTCACTCACAGGGGTCACTCACTCACCTTGGGGCTCCGGAGGGGTCACTCACAGGGGTCACTCACCCTGGGGTCACTCACAGGGGTCACTCACTCACCCTGGGGTTCTGGAGGGGTCACTCACAGGGGTCACTCACCCTGGTGTCACTCACAGGGGTCACTCACTCACCTGTGGCTCGGGAGGGGTCACTCACAGGGGTCACTCACCCTGGGGTCACTCACAGGGGTCACTCACTCACCCTGGGGTTCTGGAGGGGTCACTCACAGGGGTCACTCACCCTGGGGTCACTCACAGGGGTCACTCACTCACCCTGGGGTTCTGGAGGGGTCACTCACAGGGGTCACTCACCCTGGGGTCACTCACAGGGGTCACTCACTCACCTGTGGCTCGGGAGGGGTCGCTCACTCACCTTGCAGCTGTGCCGACAGCGCTTCCTGCTGCAGTTTGTATTTCTGCGCCAGCGCCTCGGCGCCCCGCACTTGGCTCTGGAGGTGCCCGTAGAGCAGCGCGGCCGAGGCCAGGCCGGCCAGGCAGAGCAGACCCAGCGCCGAGGGCAGCAGCCCCTTGTGCCTGCGGGAGCACAGCCCGGTGCCCATGGCACTGCCCGGTTTGTGGCGCTGTTAAACCATCGCGTTATTCCGGCCCTGCCGCTCCTCTCCCCGCGGATCCCTGCGGAAAATGCGGGCTCGGCTCCGCTCCCAGCCGCGCTCTATTCCCCGCTGTCCGTCGGGACATCCGAGCGGAGCCCGAGCATCCTCGGGGGGCGAGGGCACCGAGCAGCGGCAGCGGCAGCAGGAGGAGGAGGAGGAGGAGGAAGAGGAGGAGGAGGAAAACTTTTGCTTCCCATGTGCTGCTGCTGCGGAGGAGGAGGAGGGGGGGCGGGAAGGGGGTACCGCCGCCTTTGGCTCTTCCCACCGGAAAAAATAACCCGGCGAGAGGAGGAGAAGCCCTTGGGCCCCCTCCCCGCGGCGGATCCCGCAGGAAGCGGCGGCGGCGGCGGCGCCGGGAGAGCGGCCAGGAACGCAGGAACGCGGCGGCGGCATCCGGGCTGCGGGGCCCGGGGTCCGCCCTCGGCCGCGGGAGGGGCTGCGGGGACACGGGGGGACCGGGAGGGGACAGCAGAGTGATGAGACCCGGGAGCCGGTATCACCCGGAGCCCCCTGTCCGTGTGTCCCGTCCCTGTTGCTAACGGGACGCGGGAAGGGATGGAGCGGCAGAGCATCCTCACAGGAGCATCCTCACGCAGGCAAAAGCTGGGGTTTGTCCTCACACAGCCAAAAGCTGGGGTTTGTCCTCACACAGCCAAAAGCTGGGGTTTGTCCTCACCCAGCCAAAAGCTGGGGTTTGTCCTCACACAGGCAAAAGCTGGGGTTTATCCTCGGGAAAATAGGAGGTGATGAAGGCAGGAGGGCGGGAGGAGGGGAAAGGTGGGAATTTGGCTTTTTCCCAATGGTTTGGGTTGGGAAAAACAGGGACAGGGCAGGGACAGCTTCCACTGGCCCAGGGTGCTCCAAGCCCTGTCCAAGCCGGCTTTGGACACTTCCAAGGTGTTCTGGACATGAGGGCTCCTCTCTTCTGGCAGAGCCCAGCTGGTTTTACAAGGTGTGTGATGCTCCTGGTTTTACCAGGTGTGGATGCACATGGTTTTACCCAGGTGTGTGATACTCATGGTTTTACAAGGGTGTGATGCTCATGATTTTACCCAGATGTATGATGGTTTTCCCAGGTGTGTGATGCTCATGGTGTGTGATGCACATGGTTTCACCAGGTATGTGATGCTCATGGTTTTACCCAGGTGTGTGTTGGTTTTACCAGGTGTGTGATGCACATGGTTTCACCAGGTGTGTGATGCTCATGGTTGTACCAGGCGTGTGATGCTCATGGTGTGTGATGCACATGGTTTCACCAGGTGTGTGATGCTCATGGTTGTACCAGGTGTGTGATGCTCATGGTGTGTGATGTTCATGGTTTTACCAGGTATGTGATGCTCATGGTTTTACCCAGGTGTGTGTTGGTTTCACCAGGTGTGTGATGCACATGGTTTCACCAGGTGTGTGATGCTCATGGTTGTATCCAGGTGTGTGATGCTCATGGTGTGTGATGTTCATGGTTTTACCAGGTATGTGATGCTCATGGTTTTTCCCAGGTGTGTGATGCTCATGGTGTGTGATGCTCATGGTGTGTGATGTTCATGGTTTTACCAGGTATGTGATGCTCATGGTTTTTCCCAGGTGTGTGATGCACATGGTTTCACCAGGTGTGTGATGCTCATGGTTGTACCAGGTGTGGATGCTCATTGTTTTACAAGGTGTGTCATGCTCATGGTTTTCCCACGTGTGTGATGCACAAGCTGACCTTTAAAGTTCCCTTCCAACCCAAACCATTCCATGATTTTGCCCCTCACGGGACAGACCAAGCTCCTGGAGCCTTGCCCAGGTTCTGAGCTCAGATCTGAGACCCCCAGGTTGGTGATGAATCCTCTCTGACTGTGAGCTTGGCTCATCTCCTACCTGAGCTCACAAGGATATTTCTCCAGGAATTCTGCCAAGCTCCCTCTTTCAGGCACCTGGGGAACAAGCAACAATCACAACAGTTCTCCACAGCAATTCTCCTCTCAGAGTCGTGCCTGGTGGTTTCAGAAATGTTAATCAAACGAGCTTCACAGCTCTGCTGGGAATTGGCTGAGTGGCACTTCTGTCACCCCCACTTGTCATTGGCAAAACTGAGGCACAGCATTCCTGTAAGGTAATTATTTATCCAAAATAACTATTTTTTAAAGTAGGATTTTTTTTCCCCCTTCCCCAAGCATTTTAAGTGGATTTGGTGGATTTGTTCTGGCAGACCTTGCTGGAAATGGGGTGATTTGGCTCTGACACAGCTTCCACTGACCATTACAGGCTTTCCTTAATGAATTAACTGATTACTGCAGCTCCTTCTGGACACCAGAGCAGCACTGATGGGATATCCCATGGCACCATTTGTGTGCCATGGATTGAGTGTGCAGGACCAGGGAAAACCTCGTTCCTATTCCCAGATATTCAGTGCAGGACACTCCACTGTGCCAGATTTACTGCCCAGCTGGAATGTCCTGTCTGCACCCTGAGGGCTGAGCAGGCAGCCCATGGGATGAGGGGTTTCACTCTCAATTTTGCCTCTATTCAGCACATTCTTATTTTTCTGGTTTTTAAAATTTTTTTTTCCCCTCCTGCACTCATTAATTACTTCCTCATGTGCTGATTCCTGCCTGGGAAACACTGGGAGTTTTTTGGAGTTTTTTGACAGAGAGAAGTCTGGAAAAGGTCAAAACCTAGATTAGGGGATGTTTATCTGAGGAAGATTTGATTGACAAAATGTCTGTGATCAGGCACTTAATACTTTTATAACAAATAACTTTTCCCCTCCTTCCTCATGTGCTGATTCCTGCCTGGGAAACACTGGGAGTTTTTTGGAGTTTTTTGACAGAGAGAAGTCTGGAAAAGGTTAAAATCTAGATGAGGGGATGTTTATGTGAGAAAGATTTGATTGACAAAATGTCAGTGATCAGGCATTTTGCTTTTGTAATAAATAACTTTACTCCTGCAATAAACTCAGGAGTGTTTAGATTTAACTCCATTTAAGTCAGGAGGGTTTAGATTTAATTCCATATTTCTGCACCAGATCTAAGGCCAGTGAAAGCTAAAAGCTTCATGTTCATGTTTTACCAATATTTGAATGATTCAGAGGATTCTTCCTCGTACAAATCCCACAACATCCCACATCTCTAAAGGTCTGCACGAGTATTTTTTAGGGAGACACAGAGGAGGAGAAACCCCTGAGGTAACAAATCGACCATAGGTGACATCTCCCTGGAAACACAACCCCAAATGCCTCAGGGATTATCTGATCATCTCCTTTTGCTCCTCTAATCCAGGGGTGATCACATCTGATGACAGCTTTAAAACAATAATCTGAGCAGAACAAGCAATTCCCATGGGAAAGCTCGGGGTGGGGGAGCTTGCACAGAAAATGCCATTTTCCCCCTGCAGAACAAACTGTGAGCATTGACCATCTGTGCAAGCTGCAGCCTTTGAATCAGAGCTCTGGATCCCACAGCAGGATTTAAATCAGCTCTGGGAGTGTTTTCAGCCAGGTTATGGAAATTCTGCCAAGGAACCAAGAGGGATGGATGGAAGGAATGTGCTGGGAGGAGGCTGCATTATTTAGGGGTTGTAATTTTATAAATATACAGATAAATGTGCCACATTTCACAACCTAAAGGCTTTGTGGGGTTTGGATTTGCCTTCCAGGGAACCCCAGTGCACAAATGAGGGAGGGCACAGGCTGAGCAGGGCAGGAGGAGCCCAGGGGATGAGAAATGCCAGGCACAAATGTCTGAAAGTGTTCCAAGTGGATTTGATGCAAAAGAGGGACCAGCACTCCTGAGCTGCCCTTCCCCACACAGAAATTCCCAATTCTTTTCCATCCAGCACCAAAAATGCCCCAAAATTGAACCATTCCTGGGGACCTTGGTGTCTCCAGGGTTAAGGGGTGGGAGAGCTGAAGAATTCCTGTCCTCCCATAACAAGAAGTGACAGCTCCTAATTAGAATTCATTAGAGGCAGCCCCGGGGAGATGATGGGACCATTTTTCAGGATGTGTTGCTGAAATTATTTTTCATCTGACGATGACAACTTGGCTCAGTTGCAAATGTCCTTTGAGTCATTTGTTCTGAGCCTAAAAACTGAGCAGATGAGATCCCAGAACCTCAGCAAAGCCTGGGCATGGCCATGGCACAAGAGAAGGGGAATGAGGAGCAAAATGAGGCAGAAACATTGGGGGTTTTGAGTTACAAGGTAAAATCAATCCTCTAGATGAGCATTCCATACAAACTGGAGCACAAGGAGACCCACAGGTATTGAATGTCTGGATATTCTGGCAGTTATTTGGCATTTACCTTAAAATCAGTTCCCAGAGTCAAAATATTGTGAGAAACTCTTTATTCTTTCCAAAAAAACTCTTTATTATAAAAAAAAAAATTACTGGAAGAATTTACAGTGCAAAAAACTTCCACCATGTGAATCTTAGGTTAAAATATTCTAAGAGAAACTCTTTATTCTTTAAAAAAAATATTTTTACTGCAAGAATTTACGGTGCAAAAACTTCCACCTTAGAATCTTAGATCCTCTGAGAAAAAACCCATCTTTGCCTTTTAGTTCCATCTCATCTTTTACAGTTTGGACTGGGAATCTCCCTTGCTTTGAGCCCTGGATCAGTGTGTGATTTTGTGTGATTTGGGTTAGTTTTTACTCAAAAAGCAATAAAACAGGCAGGATTTTGGAGGTGCAGACCTCCAGAAATCATCATGAATATAACAATTCTATCATTTTCCCTGCTGTGGGTGAAGCACCACTTGTCACCGAGTTGCTGTGGGGGGGATTTCTGGGGAAAATGAAGCACATTTGAATTGCTGTTAATGAATCAGGCTGAGCAGGTGATGGTGGGAGGAGGAGGCAGCAGCAGCGGCAGCAGATCTGTTCTGGTGCCTCCTCCAGGGTGTTCTGCTGCTCTGTGGCACCTCAGGACAACAGAGAGATGAGAATTCCTCATCATCCCCCTGCAGAGT